GAGTAGAAGTCTTGGGGGCACGTGCGGTTTTGTAGGAACTGGGTGTATATTACAGTAAAACATTTCGAAAATGGAGCATCATGTCTGATGGCATGTTTTCATACTATGTGTACGTTTCATTTTGCATTATGCTCAGGAACATGCAATGGCTTATTGACAGGTGTTGTTCATCGATAAGTTGTTCATCAAGTATACTTCGTGAAGAATGTACCTTACAATGACTTTATATGAATAAAACAACATAAATGAGGTAAATGTTTATCAAAGAGCAACATTAAGAAGGTGTTTGACCTTAATGCTTAGTGTCCATGTCAAATTGTGAAATGTCAATTCCTGTCTCTAATGTTAATTGTGAAACACAACAATAAAAATGCATACCTTATACAGCTAACAACTTTTATTTATACATAATAAGGTAATATAGGTTTTCCCGGCCAATTACACCAATTTTTTCATTCAATTTAACGCCTGGCTCATTCAATTTAGATTGAAATTGAAAGATTGTGCAGATCGGCATTCCACAATCACAAAGAATCATTTAATTTCACTATCCGAGCATTCTATCGCCTTTTAGCTTCACTCGTCCCTATCAAAGATGCATTTATATTAAAAGTATCGCGTTGTTCATTCAATTTCGTCTAAACCATTAGTAAGGGGTTGATCGGGCATTCGTTTTCATTAATGGGCAAACGTGTTTTACATTTTGTGAAACATCTTTAAAGACTTCATATCACACGTGTCCGTATTCGTTAGCGTAAATCATATTTGATGACTTCAAACCGTAGATTGACTTTCTTTCTTAATTAAAGGGTTTGTTCAAGGAATTTTTCTCATGAATTCTTTTTGCGCAACTCTGTGAAATGTAAGAAAACTACACATTTGACAACACTTTTGGGGTTAATCTTATTGCAAAGACCACTTCTTTAAACATTCAAAAGTTTCTATGTTTTTCCGAACTAATGCTGTTACTGTGATGTCATTTCAGGAAGACACTGTTCAGTTTAGGGTTTTTCTTTCAAATTATTAATCCAAAATTTGCTAATTGAAAACATTAGTGGGAAAGGGTTGGTAATTGCCTTACTGCCATGTACTGACACATCATATAATCACCAAATTAAAGAAATTTATGACAGCAAAATATCCAAAATTCTAGCACTTTTTGTGCTGAAATAGCCGTGTTTTCTAATGAATATGAAACCTTGCATTAGCATAAAAACGGAGAATGCACCAAAACACCCATCAAAATGGAAAATAAAACTTGCAAATAAGGTTAAATGTGATAAAAAGATGTATTTTTAAGGTTTGCATTGAAATCTTTGCATGGGCCCTGTGAATATGGTAAGTGTTCGGTCAGACATACGCAAGAAAACATTTAAGAAATAACGCAAGAGAAGTGTTCCCGAAGGTACAACCATTGCCAAACATACTTGTCCCCGATGTCTTACACGTCAAGAAATCGTCAACGTAAAAAAGCCCCTTGATCAAACGTTTAAACAAGTAGAAAAGATCAACAGTGAAAACGAAATTATCTTAGCCCCTTTCAATTCATTATTTCGTTGCATCTTGTTTCCCTCACATCAGTTGATTTGTAACATTGTAAATTTTACAGTCATCAAGATTTTTTTTTGGGGGGGGGGAATGAACCTCGGAGAAAAATAAGAAAAAAAAAACAATTAAAAAATCTTAGTAATTTAAAATTCCAAACGATGAAAGCGATTGCCCATAAACGAATAAGAAACGAACCGCATAGTTTTACGTTATAAGCCACAGATGTTCGCTAATTTGAATGCGTCAACCGTCAAAAGGTTGCAAAGAGTTAATTTAAGACTGCTACAAGTTAAGTCTTGAATGCACCAAAACGAAATAGGCTGTTTGAAAACGAAAACGAACATTCACAGCAAATTATTGGCTGCCTAAAAATGAAATTAAATGAACCCCAAATGAAAAAGAAACCGCAATTGGACCACATGTGCAAAACTCACGCGAAATTGAATGGCAGATAATGAAACCGATTAGAAAAATTTGGAAATTCGCAGGGAAAACCTATATTATGTTTAAATTATTATTGTTTTAATGCCCACAATTCTTCAAATAAGTCGAAAGATTGGGTGCATTTTTTAATCGAACACACTTTAAATAACCAGAAACGAAATGTAATGACAACAACATGAAAACGAACGACAAACAATGTGAGTTACTGGGTAGAAATATCCTAGTACTCCATTAACATGTACCGTTTTTCACCAGGACTAGTGTCTCAGCTACTTTTACTCTGCGTTGACGATTGCGTGAAATCGCACCGCCATTGAGTCAACAGTCCCGCCTAGAGCTCTGCGTGCAATCGCTGGTTGTTATGGTAACGAGACGACCAAAGTCCGCTTTTTACGCCCAAAAATTCAAATCAGGTCCGCACCGGTTCGGTACGTGGCATTTCATTCCAACAATAACCACAGACTAGCTGCGAGCCTATCATCGGGAGATAATTCCTTTCAGGAGCTCAGGAAACATTTCAGCCGCCAGGACCGAGACCGTCTGAAACCTGCAACGGATTCATTCGACAGGCAAGGATTCTTAAGTTCAACGTAGATACACTGCCCGTTAAAGGTAGGAATACTATGCCTTTGAAAATAATTTACTTTAATTGCGAGTGTCGAAAAGGATGTTCTTCGTCATTTGAATTTATTTTCTGATTTTTTTTATCATGCATATCACAGCGATACAACACGATGCGAATACATTTAGACGGATGCGGCTTGGAAAAATGTCACTAGTCAAATCACCACTTAAGGGGGAGGGGTTGTTTCTTGAAAGTAAACAGAAATTAATTTGCAAAACGGCTGACTTCATTACTTTGTTTAAATTGACTTTCAGGTCCTTTTCAGATGGATTGTGAATTATTTATTTGAATAGTGTGAGCGTTAGATATGCTCGGTTATAATTTTTTCATTTTGGTTGGGGGGGGGGGGCGTTGCCAAAATTCCTAAGACGGGATTTGATTCACTAAAGACTTGATGGCGCCCTCTACTGTCGTGGTGGCTTGACCGTCAAGGTCTGCAATGCTATAGAGACGTAAATTTCTCCCCTGGTGACGCGCTTCCGGAACCTTGAATAGGAAAATTAACGTGTAAAATTCTAGAGTTTGCAATGATTTTGGTTTACTGAAAATCCGAAAAAAGTTCTTTGTAATATAGTTACTAGCATATCATTTTGTGCATGGAAACTGATAAATCGAAAGAGATATCGTAACGAAAATAACCTTTCGCGTCCAAAATACGGAAGCATATTCCACCGTCGGTGTACGTATAGATGAGAACTCTTGAAATTTGTGGCGGTCATAAGGTGAAACTGAGAATGCCACCAAGACCAAGATGTCGTTTAAGAATTTAAGTTGGAAGAAAATTAATAAAGGACTTTTGCTGCATGGTATTTAGAAAAAGAATCTAAAACTGACCGTTTACAGATTGCACTCATGAGTTGCTCAACCCAACCCCGCTAATCTAGAACCCACTGGCTATAGGTTGGTCAATTTTCTCAATGGTATATGCATTCTCGTTCCCACGCAAGTAGACGATATGAAAACACAAATGCGCAGGTGAGGAGACCTATGAACGATAATGCCGGATGTAAAAGATCGCAAATGAAATTCAGTTTTACCCATTTCCAATCATCCTCAAGTTTACTTGAAGAATACCAAGATACAATTTCAACGTGAGAGTGTGTAGGGATTGTCACGGTTAGAAATCATTGGGCCCAAAATCAGGTGAAATGGTAACCCGATGTAAAATGCGCGTAGGCGGGCCGCGCCGCACGAGGGTCCCAAAAGCTCGCCGAGTGACCTGTTTACTTGCATGCAGGGTCTATTGGGCAACTAACAAACTCGACGATGACCGCACATGTTGAGAACGCTGTAGCACAAACCCATTAATATTGATCTATTGGTTGATTCTGGCAACAGGAATTATTTGTATTTGAGATAAATTATTCAGATTATCCTGCATGCTTCGTGTACAAAGCCACAGTTTTAATAAGTATGTATACATGAAATCACACAACTGTTGAGTCAACATTACACACTGAACTCTGTGCATAGCATTCACCGGTTGTTATGGTGACGAAAAAAAACAAATTCTTGTTTACGCCCCAAGTACAATTCAATCCGGTATGCACCAGTAAGGTACATGGCAAAGCATTTTAATAATAACCACTGACTAGCTGCAAGCTTTCAAGAGCTCAGCAAAAAATGTAATCGCCAGAAACGAGAAAACTACAACGTATTCATACCACGGACAAGGTTTTAGACCGAGAGCTTTTATTACAAATTATCAAATAAACCACAACGGGAAATTGATAGGTTCATTTACCTTGACTATTGACAGTTGATTTGATGTACACAACAGCTACATAATTATACCACAAGCTCTTTAATTTGAGTAGATTAAAGTACTATGAGTCAATCTATAATATTTTGTCCACTACAATATTCTATAAAATGTATCACCACACTAAAAGGGAAAAATGCTATACCTTTTATATTGTCTTACAGTGTATTGTAAAATATATTTAACGAATGCAGAATGTGTATTGCACCACCAAAATGACGATTTGGGCCTCGTTTGAATCAAGATGCTCTAATAAACCGCCTAGAATATAGGCCACGCTAGCCAAACGGGTGACAGTAACAAGTGTTTTAACGTTAGCATTTTTTATATCATATGCGAATCTTGTTTGAAAGCAAAGAACAATGAATGTTACAGACTTTTTTTCCCCTGGATTGTGTGCACCTACTTTTAAAATAAAGCTCTACCACCACATAAATTCCAAAGTGGATCCGTTTTGTACAGACATTTTCAGCCCATTTCGATTTCAACCAGACCTGCCAATTTTCATGTTTATTTTACCTCGAAAATACGCGATATTTGTCACAATTGGATCACAGATTGTGTAACTATTTTCGTTATTCTGTGTTTTCAATTCAGCATACCCTATAAGCATAAGTAGCAATGGCAACATCAGACAACATGACAAGCGTTCCAGCTGCACCTACCGCCCTCAAGCCTACACCTGCAGGATCAGGATTGACTGCTGGAGAGTGGACTGGCGTTGCAATTGGTGGTTTCGTAGTCGTTGTGATCGGCCTAATTCTGGCTTGGCGTGAGTAAATATTATTGGATAATCACTGCAGATCTTTAAATGTTTTAGGGTAGCGGACCTCAACGGGGAAAATCTGCAAACACAGTTGCTCCCATCATTTATTGATTAGGTATATTGGTTGGGGAGACGTTTTGAACTACTAAACAATCCGACCTTTGAACAACATGTACTAACCGTCTAGTGGAGCTGGTTTCAGAGAACACATAAATGACATTGATTCAGAATGGCGAAAAGTTGGTAGAATAAGCTTTGTCATTAATTACGAAGTCATAATTATTCGCATGGAGACTTCACTTATCTACAAGTGAATCATGAAAGTACGCGGAACTGCTAGACCATAATGTACATGTTGTGAAACACTACACGATGCGTGAATAAGCAAGCCTCGATATGCTTGCCCGAGACAAATTACAGTTAGTTACCATCCCGAGACACCCCCTCCCAACTTGATTGATTGTTCAGCGAGTAATTGAAAGAAAATGCAGCATTTGTGCCCCTTTTTTGCATTGTATTGAGTATTGAACATAATTCTGTCCCCAAATATGGCAAAGTCAGAGTTTTTTTGGGTGTACTTAAAGCAATATGCCTTCGGAAACCACGAATACCAATGGAATTGGGAACAACAATGTAATTACTCCCTAAGCAATCCTAGCAAGACTGTAAAAAGGAAAGAAACTCTTCACGGTGGGACCATTTTGTTGAGAAAACAGTGACCCAACAAATGATTCCGTTTTCACAAAATGAGCTTCGAAGCGACGGTTTCAAATTGTTCATTACCATTTTGAAGGGTAGTTTGGTGCTTTCTGCTTTAATGCTAATGCGAATTTTCTTTTCGTGAGCAAATATGTTAATGTGTCTTTTCAGGTACAAACCTGAATTAATGATACAGATATTTCAGCCCAAACTTTTTTTGATATTTTTCTGTGGTGATTTTTTGTTATTTTCCTTATCTTCTCTGTTTGGGTGTTATAACATTACATTGAGAGTACCGACTTTTTTTTCTGAATAAAAAATTGACAAAAAGAAGGAACATAATGCATGTCATAAAAGTAATACCCTTTTCAGCTGTAAGGCTAACAACTTAAAAAATAAAGTGCAACAGTTTAGTATTTATTTCTCTTTATTATTGAATTAAATCTTGCACGCCCCCTTTTGCCCACTCGATGCAGTTCACCCTCCCTTTTCAGCATTTGGATAAGCTAAAAATTACTTTGTAATGTTTAAAACTATGACCAAACCCACTGTGTGGCCATGGGCGTCGCCAGGATTTGTTCTAGAGGGGGGCAATTTTTTTTTTTGCCAAAAAAAGCTTGTATTTCTCAACACATTCTCGATTTATCAGTTTTAGAGGGGAGCAGGGACATTTTGCCCCCCAACTCATTAAATTTACACGACTTTGTGCCCCCCCCCTCCCTTGCCAACCCCCCTCGCGACGCCCATGTGTGTGGCCTCCTTAGCTCCACCTCCCTTTTCCGCAACTGGGACCTTGACTGATGTCCTAAAGTAATAACGGGTAATACATCGACTATATCATATATGTTCAATATCTATGGACATTGTTGCTTTGGAAACTACTGTTTTATATATACAATTTGTTTTACCAAAAAGCCGAACACCTTAATGTAGAACACATGCACCAGCACTTTTTCATTACACTTTTTCTGCTTTCCAGAAATATGTTTTTCTCTAGGTTTTGCGATTCTGTTATGTTTCTCGTGTTTTTTTCATCAAAATAAAAAAAGCTGTATGAAAACAAATGATTTGATATTCAAAATTGCGTTTAAATCTCAATAAGTCCCGTTTGGTTTATTCCTCGTTATATAATAGCAAATCAAAATCAAAATCTAGTTTTAACCGAGTTTCAAGAACTAAAGGCTACAAAGTTATGATTTGGCACTGCAATGGAATGCCATTTAATACAGTAATAACCTCTGAATGATTGTGTAGACACTGATGACATAAGGAGATTTTTGGTGCTTAGTGACGTCATCGAAATATGCTTGAAATTTCATGCAAAGCTACCACTTGAAAAAAAAGTCGATTATATATCTTTTTTATCACTAGAGACATTTACAACACAAGTTTGTGGTATCAAGCGTGCCATATAATTAGCTCATGGACTTATACGTTAACTTTGAATGGCCGGAGTCCCTTTACGTTACACGTTTCATTCTTATTTTCTGGTTTATCTTCTGTCTTATTCAGTGAGATTTGGATTCGGTGATAATGTCATTGGTAGATGCCGAGGTCGTCGAAATGGAGGTAAGCATTTTGATGTAGCATGCCCCTGGGTCGGGCATTGTGGGTCCCTCAATTATTACCAATTTTGTCATTTGTGATTTTGTCACCAAATTGCTGTTCAGTCTAAAGTTAATAGTGAAATGATCTGTGAGGGAACCCGTTTTTGTATTAAAACAAATCTTATACATATGTATTTGTTTGCATAATATGTCAATTATCTTACTGGTTGCTATGCAACCACGTGCATTCACCCATATACATTTTTAAGCGTTTAAATTATCCTAACTATTTTCTTTTCTGTGAGTTAAAATAATCCGTTGACCAAACTGAACAGATTCAATAGAAAGGGTCTCTATTCAACACGCACACATATTTAATTTCCCTGTCTTTTGTATTCAGAGGGGCGGCAGTCGCACTCAAACAGAGAAGAGGACGGCGGTGAACAAGGGATTCCAAACATACCTTCTACTTCAGCAGGTAAATCCACATTACTGATAATTTGTCCTTTATTGTGTAAGTTGTAAACAGAAGTTTGCTGGTAATTTTGAAGAATAAGACAAAGATGCACCGATCAGTCGGCGTAAACCATTTTCATAAGGATATAATAAACTTGCCTTAGTGAACACAAACAGATATTACCCGAAATCCTGTGAAATTAATCCGCCTGAAGAAATCAATTACTGAAGATGGTTTTAGACACACTGCTTACGTACGTTAGCAAGGGGATCCAGTTACGAGATCCCCACAAGTTTGTTTTCTCGAAATTGTAAAGTGTCCAATGAAACTTGGTAAGAATATTTTTTTAACGCTACTTTTTCAAACCAATAAAATGTCCAAAGAAAATGATCCCAAATTACTTTCAAAAGTTAAACCTTATGAACCAAATCAAAATGGAATGAATGAGCTTTCGTGGTTTGCAGCAACACCCATGCATTTCTTGAGAAAGTTGTCGTATTGTGAATCAAACAGTTTGTGACTCATCAAAACCACTTTTTTCAGCACACAAAAACCATTGGATCATCAATTTCAGTCCGTGTTGAGAAAAATTACCGAGTGACCAATTCTCTTAGATTTTCCTCTTTTTTTGCAGGAATAAAACAACTGAAAACCTGTGTTACTTCAAATAAACTCACAGAAAATGGAACCGCTATCCAAACTATTGATGGAATTCATCACATTTCTAGGTTTTTCGATGTATTGAACAAGGAGTCCACATTACATACAACGGTTCGTTTATTTATTACCTTTACAGGGAAGACGAACGCGACTAGGTCAAAGGCAGAACAAAGACGAGCTGAGCGAGCTGCTGGACGAAGGTGTAGGAAGGCCTTAAAGGAAATATACACTAGTACGGGAAGCTATGTGCAGATGCTTCCATGGGTCGATGACGACAAAAGGCATATCATGGACATCTACACAAAGCTACAATTGAAAAAGGGTGATAACGATTTGAAGGGAGAGGTACAATCGTATTGGGATATTTTCAAACTCAAAACAAGTCAAGGTCATTCAATTATACGGGCAATTTTAAGAGGATGGGCTGGTTTAGGGAAAACGACTCTTATTGAGAAAATTGCTTACGATTGGGCTTGTGGCACTGTCAATGCACTGAAAAAGTATAAGCTTGTTTTTGTGTTGAAAATGCATTCCCTGCAACAAAAGTCGGATGTGATTGAAGCGGTGTTTGATCAGTTGTTAGATGAAAAGACCATAAATAGAGAAGATTTGAAATCATTCATTAAATCCAACCCCGAAGACGTTCTGTTTCTGTTGGATGGATTCGATGAATTCAAGTCCACCAAACTTGATAAGACGGAGTTTGGTTCGATCCTCAAAATGCTTAATCGAAAGGGGGAGTACAAAAAATGCGTTGTACTTGTGACAACTCGTCCATCACACTATGACAAACTGGTAAAAAACTCTTTGATTGAAAAACCGTTTGCTCTTGTGGAAGTGTTGGGGTTTAGCAAGGACGATATTAAAGAATATGTGCACAAATATTACTCACAAGAACTGCCCAAAGCTAAAGGACTTCTGGAGAGGATTACTTCATCAGATGTTCTTACAGATTTAGCGCAAAGTCCAATGCTGTTGTTGTTAATGTGTTTGTTATGGAGTGAGAGTGCTACACTCCCTGACACCATGTTCCGGCTTTATAACGAGGCACTGCGTTACATATTTAAACGTAAGACACAAATGTCAACAGAAGAAATATCCAAGTTTATTATTGCAATTGGGAAGGTTGGTTTGGATGGCCTACTTTCATCTGATCAAAAGCTATCATTTCCAGAGGAGGATTTTGAGTCGGATGTGCTTGATATGGCCATACGAGCTGGCATCCTCACCAGCCAGCGAGTCTGTAAGGGGATCGACACTTGTAAACGTGTTCATTTCATCCATAAGACGTTTCAAGAATTTTGCGCTGCGATATACTACCAAAGTTTAAAATCAAAAAAACAAACGTGGACATTTCAAAACTTCTTCAGTCAATTGTCTGATTTAGCAGGGTTTGAATATCTTCTGCGTTTTTGTTGCGGTGACAATGGTGGACCAAGTACACATTCAATTTTGAACGTTGTAACGCATAAAGTCCAACATGCAGGAAATCTGGAAGATGAAAACTTACAAATAGCCCTGAATTGTTACTTTGAGAGCCAGAGCCAGATATTGCCACCAAAGGAGTTAACTAATTCTATTATTGCTCAAAATTTCGGTGCATATCATGATTTAAGCCGTGATCATTCGACATCGTTGATGCACTTCCTAAAAAACGTTACTGACGAGCAAAAAGGTGGAGGGAATACTTGCCTCGAAAGGATACATTCATTAAGGATGCCACAATCAACCTTTCGAAGGCTAGGTGCAGATTTTGTGAATCATGTGAATAGAATGACAAGTCTGCATAAAATTGATATAAGTACAAGGAGTTTTAACTTTACACAGGAATTTCCGAACGACGTGTCACGATTAATTTCCTCTCTACGCTTGAAAGAAATGACGCAGCTTAACATCGTGCGTTTTAATGAATGCGTCCCGACGAGGAGTGACATGGAGCACATTATTGGGGAACTGGGTAATCTGCCAAACCTTGTTGAATTGGATCTGTCTGGCAGACGCACCCTTGCAGGATCAGATCAGCCATGGTCTCATTTGAAGGATATCAAAACCCTCAACACACTGGCCTTGCAGCAATGCGGATTGAAAGAGGATGACTTGGAGCACATTGCCGTTGGGCTAAGTAATCTGCCCAACCTTGTTGAATTGGATCTGTCTTACAATGAGACCCTTGCTGGGTCAGGTCGGTCATGGTCTCACTTGAGGGAAATTAAATCCCTCAACAAACTGAACCTGAGATGCTGCAAATTGGGAAGTGATGACTTGGAGCCCATTGCCGTTTGGCTGAGTAATCTGCCGAACCTTGTTGAATTGGATCTGACTGGCAATGAGACCCTTGCTGGGTCAGGTCGGTCATGGTCTCACTTAAGGGAAATTAAATCCCTCAACAAACTGAACCTGATATCCTGCAATTTGCAAAGTGATGACTTGGAGCCCATTGCCGTTGGGCTGAGTAATCTGCCGAACCTTGTTGAATTGGATCTGACTGGCAATAAGACCCTTGCTGGGTCAGGTCGGGCATGGTCTCACTTGAGGGAAATTAAATCCCTCAACAAACTGAACCTGAGATACTGCAAATTGGGAAGTGATGACTTGGAGCCCATTGCCGTTGGGCTGAGTAATCTGCCGAACCTTGTTGAATTGGATCTGTCTGGCAATGAGACCCTTGCTGGGTCAGGTCGGGCATGGTCTCACTTGAGGGAAATTAAATCCCTCAACAAACTGAACCCGAGATGCTGCAAATTGGGAAGTGATGACTTGGAGCCCATTGCCGTTGGGCTGAGTAATCTGCCCAACCTTGTTGAATTGGATCTGTCTGGCAATGAGACCCTTGCTGGGTCAGGTCGGGCATGGTCTCACTTGAGGGAAATTAAATCCCTCAACAAACTGAACCTGAGATCCTGCAAATTGCAAAGTGATGACTTGGAACCAATTGACATTTGGCTGAGTGATCTGCCCAACCTTGTTAAATTGGATCTGTCTCGCAATGGGACCCTTGCTGGGTCAGGTCGGGCATGGTCTCACTTCAGGGAAATTAAATCCCTCAACAAACTGGACTTGAGCAGCTGCGGATTGAAAAGTGATGACTTGGAGCTCATTGCCGTAGGGCTGAGTAATCTGCCCAACATTGTTGAATTGGATCTGTCTGACAATGAGACCCTTGCTGGCTCTGGTCGGTCATGGTCTGTCCTGGCAAAAGTCAAACATCTTCGAAAGCTTGTTTTGTCATCCTGCGGTTTGACCGCTGACGATAAGACACAAATCACCGAAGCAGTGAGTCAAATGACAAACTTAAAAGTATGGTGGCCCTGAAGGGACATCGCATATCGCAAACGTGTGCGCATACGTATGCGATGTCGCGAAATTTATCGCGAACGTGTGCGCAAACGTATGCGATGTCGCGAAATTTATCGCGAACGTGTGCGCATACGTATGCGATGTCGCGAAATTTATCGCGAACGTGTGCGCATACGTATGCAATGTCGCGAAATTTATCGCGAATGTGTGCGCACACGTATGCGATGTCGTGAAACAATTCGCGAATATGTGCGCACACGTATGCGATGTCGCGAAATGTATCGCGAATATGTGCGCACACGTATGCGAATTTGTTTGCAATGTCGTGAATTTTATTGCATACCTTGTCGCATACCTTTCAGTAAAATTCCTATTGAACTGGGGAGTTGTAGCAGCTAGTCTGGAATCTAGACGTACTGTTAGATATAAATAGGGTCTGACTAATAAACCTTCGCACGCACGCTGTTCCTCGCGCAATCGTTACTACTAGTACTGTCGAGCGCAAACTTGGTACTTGCGCAAGTTTGAAACTTGCGCGCGCAAATTTATAGCTGCCTGACAGTTTTGTAACCGTAGTCGAATCAAGCAACCACTAAAATCGAAGGATTCACAACTTTGGAATTATACCATCAGTAAAGCAAATAAAGTGCTTCAGTGCTGCTCTATTAATTTTCCCTCAAAATTTCGGTCCGTATTCATAGGACCAGGTCTTTATTGGGTGACGTAGATCACTTTTTGCGGGGCAATTTCTCTAACAAACATTTTGTTAATCTCAGCTCTACCACACAGAAGCACTGTTGCATTATGATGGTTCATAAATTAGGTGATTTATACATAGTTTTCAAATAGAGCCCATGAGAAGAGCAGGAATTACAAGAATTTTCAAGAAATCAAATATCGTGAAAGTTTTAAGAAGCCTAGAATTCGAATCCTCGCCGCATAATCAAAGAATAACTTTTAAAACAAGAGCCTACGGCTAAAAGCTTTCGATCTTCATTGCAATATATGAAGTGTTTAGGGGCGTGGGGGGGGGGCGGGGAACGAGGTCTGCATTTGTTCAAAACGTATGACAGGCACAGATCTGCAAAGATTATTGAAACAAAAAATAACTGAAACAACATGACGTCACTCTTTGCTTACACTCTTGAAACATTCTGGTCAAATTTGACAAGAAATCAGTCCAACTTGCACCCAGCTGACCCTAGCTGAATAGTCTGTTGTTGGAAGATAGAAACCCACGAGCAAAACCACACCCGACGTGAGCTTGGATGAATACACAGAGTCGATCTCACATTGAAAAAGAGGCAAAACTAAAGTAACATTGTCACTTTCTGGTGTATTATCCTAGATACAGAGCCTGCTTTGAGTTTGCCCGTAATTGGATGACCCTCTTCAATAAGTGCAGAAGTGTAAACAATTACTGTTCTTTTGTTAATTTCTCTTTCGTATATGGTCTGTCTGTATTTTGTTTGTATGAGAATAATATCACTGCGTGCCTCGGAGTAGTTGTAGTGCAAGTGTAACTGTATGATACAAATTAATATGTATATATCAATGGATATTAAGGTTATAGCTTATGTATACAACTGTGTATGTAATATAATGTGTGTTTCTATTTTTGATAAATTGAATATCAAGTTCCATCACAGAGAAGATTTAAAGTGAGAGTATTGAAATTGTAAATAAATGTGATTAGTAACTTGTTTTTATGGTTTTTATAACTACGGTCTTTTAAACAGTAATGTTAAAAGCAAATGATATTTTGTTTGTAACAGGGAACGAAAACTGTTCCATTGGAAGGAACATTTCAGAGAATACCATGCACTTTCGATTCCAGTAATCATTCTCGGACTCAGTTTACGAGTATCTCGATACTTGGACATAGCAAGGGAGGGATACCTCCAGGACTACGCTTTAGATTGAGTCAATCACAAAGTCCATCACAAGTCAAATCACAAGTCAATCACAAGTCAATCACATGTCAGTCACAAGTCAATCCCAAGTCAATCACAAGTCAATCACAAGTCAAATCACAAGTCAATCACAAGTCAATCACATGTCAGTCAAAAGTCAATCCCAAGTCAATCCCAAGTCAATCACAAGTCAAATCGTTTGTCAGATCACAACATGATGAACAATGTCAAACGAATGCCTTCAGTCACAGCTCATTAGCTTGTGACTCGACTTGAGACTGAATGACTTGTGATGGAATTGTGATGACTTGTGATGACTTTGTGACTGACACGATTACAACTCTGTGAATTAATGAGTGGATTCCCGTTGAGATGGGTGGCAAAGACACTCGAGGATAGTAAACAAAAGAATGTGGAACATTCAGTAGCTCGTGTAACTGTTCATGTAAAAAAAAAAGGTGTCTTACAAATGAGTTTCCCAAACTTTGGTTTCGTCTCGTCTTTGGCTCGGTCTCAAGTCGACATTGGCATCAAAATGTTTGACATTCAATGGCCAGGAATGAAAACACTGTCATCTTTGCCTTATATCATAGAGTTTGATATCCATCTACAGAGAATCATCTTCTCATATTTTAACAAACATCTCCAAAGTCAGTGATTAAAAATCAGGCATAGCAGAAGACGGAGGCGAAGCCAAAGATTACAAAAACAGCAGTAATTCAAGGTGTGGAGTAATACCATGATTTCGTAGATATTGCGACTCATCCCGTTCCAGTTATAAATATAATTCGGGATCTGGATATTTTAGGCTGTTAGATTCCAAAACGAGAAACGCTACCCCAAAACACCCCGGGTAGGGCACTCAAAGTATCCAAAGGAATGGATTCATGACTTGTTTTCTGATTGTATGCTAAGCAATGGGGGCAAAATTGGTGATCATGACCGGGAACATTTGAGACTTTCTGAACTTTTAAATATTGGGTACTTTTGTTTGACTGTGATAAGGCTTTTGTCCAAATTCTTTTATCATGAGGGTGGAAACATATATCTTGGAAATATTTACCGCTACAGTTTTGAAAGAAATAGGTAATCGAATACAGTCCATCAGTTTATTGGAGAAGAATAATTATATTATATGGGATGGATAAATTCTATTTATAAGCTTTTTTGTCAGAGTAACATCATTTTAAAGTGTACACATATATCTTTGATTTGTTTCATATCAGTAAAGTTGTACAATTTTGTTATAAGATATTTCCAAGTTTGTTAATCAATCTCTTTGCAGTAATAATAACATCACAATGACGTTATTTGCTGGTTTAAATTCTCTTCAATCACAGAAGTGTATTACGTAGTTACCTCCGTGTGATTGCTAGGAAATCAGAGCATTAAACAAGACAATATGGATTTTCAAAGAAACGTAAATAAAAACAGTTTTATATCGAGCTCAAATTGTCTACATTAGCAGTTTTTTTCTGTTGATTTGATTTTACTGTTAAGATTAAAGGCCAAATGTTCTGCTTATAATCTTTAACCAGCGAAATTCCAAGTTGACGATTTTAAACAACATGAAGCAGAGTCTTAGTGCGCTCACCGAACATGGAGCATATTATTATTTTGGGACAGTTGTTGTTGGCTGAACTAATTGACTCAAAATTGAAGTTGGCTCCCCCACTTTAGATTCAGTGTTTCGAATAAGTTCTTTTATCTCTTCTTGAGTTGCATTTCCCGTGAAAAAGGCTCCCCCCGTGCAGGTGACCCTGTTAATAAAAGTATACATTTTACTGGCGCACAATACCGACCACTAGAATGCCCCCCCCCCCCAAGGGTCCGGTCGCTAGCTCCCATTTAAAGCCTTTGATTGGATCGCCTCTGCGCGGGCGCATTACGATTGTTTATTTTCAATCGCTGTTCACCTTGTACATAGACGCCAATGATTACACTCACGATCATCACGATTTAACTCACACTTGTCTTTACCAAAAAAGTACACAAAATCACCAGTGTCTCCATGAAAGCAACTTTCAAGCATTTCAACTGCATAGCTTGTAAATATTGAACAGCAATTTTTCTCTCTTTATTGATATTGGCGAGAGATACTTTCAAATTCAGCAAAAATCGAAGCTCATTGCCTCCACAAATTCCACATTCGTGGTAAGGCCTACTGCCGTTTTGAAGCAGGCTGCAGCTGCGCGCAAAGATTACCGAATTTAGAATAAACGAGGTGAGGCGGGCTTCAGACCTACATACGTCATGCATACATTACCTGGAATTCTGGGCAATGTATGCCAGATTCACCGCTAGCTATACCTGTCCCTATTTTTGAAGTCCAAATGACAATGGGGACAGGGATCCAGACGACACCCACCACCACATACAACTATCCACAGCCTGGTACTCAACACAGCAAGAAACCAGTTGATGACGTCATTGCCCTGGACGCTAAGTCCAATTGTCTGACCAACAACAACGGTTATCAGAATGGAAAAGCTAAGACACAGAAGGAAGATTAGGCTCAATAAAAACAAGATTTGTCTCAAAGTAATGATGAACATGACGTTATTCTATCAACATAAATTACGCTAGAGTCGTTTTCAGAATCTTGACTCAAGGTGCCATTCCAAAGCAATTCAATTTCTGTTTCCTAACCAAAATATAATCATTTTGTTCATTCATTATTTTTGTGTGCATGAATGCATAGCAGACCGGCAATGTGTAGTATAACTGTTCTTAATGCAAACGACGCCGCAGGGCCCGAAAGTAAAATATTTTATAGGTTTGTCATAAAATTGATCATTCTGAGTCTGACTGTTAACAGATGGCAGGGGGCGTCACTGTGGCGGACTTGCATGGTTTGATCACTGTTATGCAAATTCATCAGCAACCGCTCCCTGGAACTGTCTAATCCCAATGAACGTACAGGTTAATGTACTTCCTGCCTAGTAAGATACGGATGGCCGCTTCACATACGCTGTTCATATCACAATGCATGTGTAATCTCTGCTATAGACCATTATCATGCTGCGGCCATCTTGATTTTTTCCCCATTCAAATCAATGTAACCAAAGCGAGCCTGGAAAGAAAAATAGACTGATTCCTTATTGCATAAAAAAACAGTATCATTCAGTACTGTTATTGGATAAAGGGAACATGACTGAAATGGTGGCAGCATGATAAAGGTCTATAGCATTTTTTTTCTCTCTCTGCTCTCTCATTTCGTTTCTACTACACGAGGGCGGAGCTAGTTTTCAGGAAAGGGGGGTTTGATATGAAGGGAGTTGGGTGAAACACGGATCCTACACACAAGGATGCGTAAACAAACATGTTAACGTTACATAGTGTGAACACTCATTTGTATGTTTTCGTGTAGTTAAGAAAACATGTGAAAACAAATCATTTTACTCACACTGTGAAAACTCTTTTAACCTAGTTTTTTTTTAAAACTATGATTGCCTTGTGTATTTCTCTTCATTTTGCGACTAATAAACAGAACCAATAAATGCCTTGGAATCTGTTTTCCAGAGAGGAGGAACCCTGCGTGTGTAAACACCGACAATCGTGGACCAAGGACAAAATGGTTAGTGCACAAACAATACGTCCACAGTTGATCGATAGTCTACAATTACAAACCGTGTACAAAACTAATGGGAGCTGTTGCTGAAAAGTTCGAGAACAAACAAAGGAAAAGAAGATTACGGACACTGGGGTCCACGATTGCTGGTGTTTACAATGTGTGGACGTGGGCAAGTCCACACGACGTATCTGTAACCTGGTTTATGTCGACATTCAGAGCTCTAATACAAAATGCACTGAACGGGATCACGCATTTAACCAACAGTTTTGCCGCCGAGTCGTTCATTCTTGGTGTAGGATCCGTCGGTGAAAGCTTGGCAAAATAATGTACGCCCTGCATGCTATGGGGTTTCGGGAGTATGCCCCGCGGGGAAATTCTGAAATCCACAATGCTTTCTCCTGCATGCTCTCTATGGCAATTTGTGGAAGAATTTATACGTAGGAACTTTAGGATTCCATTTTTATTTTTATTTTTTTGGCCCGTTTTACTAGTGTCATAACATTAGTCAGCGGCTGAACGGAGGGGGGGGGGGATGTTGCAACACCCTAGGTCAGCCACTGCTGCAGCATTTGGGACGTCGTTGCAAATTACAATCCCGTGCAAGCTTTAAGTGTATACCGTGTTTTGTTGGGGTTTATGTGGTTGTTCATAATCGATGCTGATTGCTATTTCCCAATAACTCAACGACAACGAGGCGATTCTATCGATTCTTAATATCTTTGTAAATGAATGCAAATGCATACGGCTGTTGCATATTTAATATACCCAAAAAGTGCTGTGGCCTTGCATCTTGCGTGATCAGGCACCATGAAGCGCATTCTCATAAAAAAAAGTACATGGCAAGAATGTTGGAATGTTGAGTAATAATACAAGCATGAATAAATTGTCAGTATTTTATGTAAATCGTCGGTTTTCCGCGCTCAGCAGTCTACAAAGGCACTTTATAACGAGTCGAAAGGCAGACGCTTGTTTACAGAGCTCCGCGATTGTCAATCGTCAGCGATCAACAAGGAAACTCTCCATCGTTTACTGAGTGTTCTGCTATTAACAGAGCTTGAGTCCTTTCACGGAAATCGTAAGTAGAAACAAAGATCATATATAGGGAACATGGGACACAGAACATTTTTTCTTACGCGCGTATAGAAGGCGCCCGCGATTGGTCGATTTCTCGAAGTAGTACTGGGCATTTGTGTTATTCTTGTGAGAACCAGTGCATCGCATTACGTGGACGTGCAAGAAACAACATTTGTGTTGGCCATGCCAATTTGTGTTGTGTACTTTCTGTTACACACACATACAGCGTGTACCGTATGATTGAATGCACACAGCGTCACCGTTTTGACGAAGTGACGCATCTGTGCACACACATGCAAAACCTAGTTTTGAGAAAATTGCGTTTGAAGTTGGTGGATTTTTCAATTTGCATTTTTGTGTACATTTCTCCACCAGAATTGAAAAAAAATATAGAACTGAGACAATAGCCCAGGAGCTAAAAAGCCAAAAGCAATGATCTCTGTTAAAATATTAATTATTAAAGATGTCTGTCACTTCGTCAAAACGGAAAATCTATTTCTTCGCAAAAATGAGGCATATGTTTGTACACGTATATAAAATGTATACATTTTAGAACGCCCATGCGTCACTTCGTAAAAAACGCAAATCGTGGAGGCTTCATATTTTCTAAATATAGCTCACGTGTAAAATCAATGAGACTAAGTGACGCAGAGATTCGTCACTTTGTCAAAACGAAAAACTTGGTGCAATTAGCGTAATTAACGAAAGATGGAATGTTGTGTCTCGAAATTTGGTAATGATGTAGAGGACATCATATAAAGTTAGAATATCCAAAAATCTCAGAATTCAGAAAATCTCAGTTTTGGACGGACTACGTCAAAACGGTGACGGCAGCTGGAAATGCGAATGCGTATGCCGCAAAATGCAGCCGCGTCCGAAGTGAACAATCGGTTTTGTTTTGTCTTTTCTCGGGAAAGGTTACAGATTAGCTTCCTTTCAACCAGGCCTTTGAAATAGAATAATTAAACAATCCAAAAATAAAATGTTCGGGGATTTTAGGCCGTAATGCCCCTTGAATTGTATACCATTATCCTCCTTATGATACAACCAACTAAATTATTGAAAACATTTAGGCTACCGATGTTCCTATGTGCCATTATCCTCTGAATTATACAACCAACCAAAGATTTGCCGTTTCGGACACCTGTTGTTGAAATTCACATTCTGGTATTAACGTTGGCTCTGAATAAAAAAAGCAAAGCATCATGTACAAATAAGTATCATGTACAAATAAGTAATTTGTTCAAATAAACGTATTCTATGACTCATACTGATCAGCTGTTTCTATTTTTTTTGGGTGTGTATTCCCATAGATTACTAGACCCCAACATGGTTGACATTGCAGCGGTGGTGGTCAGCGGCGCAGCCATAGTCAGTAACGTCCTGGCCGTGGTGATATTCGCAGCTTCCAAGCAGCTCCGCGTCAAGTACTACGGCTTCGCCTTCAACCTCGTGCTCGGCGACATTGTGGCTCCGACTTCCGTGCTTCTGTTCCATGGCAACTTTTCCGAGGCCGTGGTGCTTCCGGTGTTCGGCACGTCCCTGTGTGCCGTGGAGCTGAGCATCCTAGCGATTGCCGTGAATCGCTTTCTAGCTCTGACCATCACGCCCCCAGCTCGCTATGACGCCATGGTGACACGTTGTCGCATGCTGGCAGCTTGCCTGTTGATTTGGATCATCTCTGCTGCCATCATTGTTCCCACCCTGCTATACTCCCAGGCGGTGGCCTGGATGGTGCAGTCATGGATCGCGCTGGGCATCCTGCTCATCACCGCTGTCTTTTACTGCGCCGTGTTCCGAAAAATTTCCCGGTACGCTCCACCGCTCGCATCCACCGAAGGTGTCCGGGCCGATGACGCCGTGGCCCGTACGCGCCTCCGCCAGACTCGCCACTTGATGATCACTTTCACCATCATCTTAGTCACGTGCTTCGTATGCTGGAGCCCATCCTGCATCGTCAACTTCATGATTTACTTCAGGGGCAAGAGCATGTCCGTTGGGCCCCAAAACCTCTTGATTTTGTCTCGTCGTGTTGCCACCATACTGATGTTCAACTCTCTCATTAACCCGTTCATCTATTGGTGGCGTATCCAAGAGTTCCGCGTCAGCATGTACCGTTTGATCTGTTGTGGTAGGGGCAATGCCGATCCTGAGAATGACGTGGTCACCCTGCAAACAATGCAGGAACCAGAGAATTGATACTAAGAAAAAGCCACGCATCCTTCCTCAACTCAACTTCGTCCTCACGATAAATACTTACAACAAAATGAATGAAAGCCATGGTATGGTGGTCACATTAAATGTATCAGTTAGGATCCTATTACTCTCCTAATAAAAGATGAAAGTCATTTTGAATAATGTGGGTTCGCCAACAGATGGCGCACTTCACAACTCATACCGCCTATATTCGCAATGCATCTTGGGACTGGATGACAAACAAACCAGGCAATTTGTGCACAAATATATGGGGCTGAGTACTAGTTACAACTTTCATTTGATTTCTCCTTATTTTGTATCACGGATTAAGATTTAATCTTTTCATGCATTGTTGCATTGGTATTTCGAAACATACTCATTTCACGAAGAAAGTATGAGGAAATCCCTTTCATTGAGACCAGTTTCATTACTGAGGAATAATAATATCATGACTCTGCCAATATTGACCAATCAGAATTCAGATGTCAAGCTCACACCTACAAGCTACAACACTGATGGATCACAAGATTGTTCCACTTGGCCTGATGACTGGTACCCGGTAATCAATTCAAAGATTTCTTTCTTTCTGTTTGGAAAGTAAATAAACTAAATTTTATTTTCAAATTATGTTGTTATTATTCTATGCATTTATAAGTGAATCGATGATCA